TTTTGAGCTCGCCCACTCGGGAGAGCTCTTTGCGATCGATTTCTTTTAGCATTGGTAGTGTCCGTGGCGACGAATGGATGGTTCTCGTTGCCGTCGGAGGAACGGCCAAAATCCCATTGATTTCAAGGTCTAAAAGTTGAATTTTCGCGGGTTACAGTTTTCCTCCGTCGAACATTTCCGTTCCCTCATTCAACTGAGGATTAATTGTTCCTCGTTTGCTACACTAGAGAGCAGCACTTTCCAGTGGCCGAGCATATCATAGCATGTTGCTATGGTTTTATATCAAATAACCTAATTGTATGTTATCATCCTCTTATCTTTTCAATGCAGTTTTTGTGTGCAGTTGTACTTGCAATTGTTATTATTTCTTAAAATAAAAAACATGGTGACCTCGACGTGATTTAATAATTTGTTCAATTAATTTTAAGTTACTAAGACTAAGATTGAGATTTGCGCATAATTAATGGATAATCCTTAAGATTGCCGTTATTGGTACCATAGAAGGTTAATTAACCTCAAAATAATTGCATGCTTGAGAGCTCGGTTGAGACTCGCATTGGGATCCTTTCAGAGTTTGTTTAAACCTCATATTAAGAATGCTTTAGGATTCGTTTGAGCCCCTCGCATCAAGAATGCTTGGGAATTCGTTTGAGCCTCGCATTTAGAATGCTTGAGAATTCGTTTGAGCCTCGCATTGAGTTTCTTTAGAGTTCGTTTTAACCTTAAAATACAGATGCATGAAGTGCTCTTTCGAGCTCCGTGCTATTTATAGTGCGCGAGGTGCTCCATTGAGCCACCCCATACCTACAAAGGCGTGATGTGCTCCATTGAGCCACTCGCATACAAAGGCTTGAAGTGGTCTCTCGAGCTCCACGCTAAAATTCAAGTGAATTCCTTTTCAGCTCTTAGTGTATACCATAAGTATTGTGTAAGAATTATGGCAGAAACGTTCCTCCAAACCGTGCTAAATTATAGTTTCTTTGAACTCTGTGCCGATAAAAATTCAGAATTCCAGACTGCCAGCTTAACAAAGTATAACCTTAATTCAAGTTGGCGACTTGATTTAAAAAAAAAAATTAAAATTAAATCATATGATTTCATTACATTGTTGACAAGTTAAGTAAAAGCTTATCAACGATGAAAGCCAGAAACAAAAATGCGATGGCACAAATAGCCATTGCAACATTTGCCGCAAAATCACATTCATAAAAGATAATTCCATTTCTCTCTCTTTATTTCTCTTTATTTATTGTAATGTGAAAAATTTGTCACATGAAATTACGTCATAACATTTTGCATCGGCATGTAACCTCTGATAATTGGGTAAAGATTCATTTAATACATATACAATTTCAGAAAAAATCATTAATAGTTGTTAATAGTTTCCCAAAGGCGAGCTCTCCAACACAGTAGTGTTGGAACCGGCAGCTTGTTTTTGCTTTCCTTTCCATTTTTTAAACTTTTTTTTCTCATTTAAATCCTTGCTAAACCAATGAATTGCTTTTAACGGAACAATAATTATCGAATGATAGAAAGAATACGTGGATTGGAGTTCGTCTATTTTTTTCTTTCCACAAAAACTTGAATACATTACATAGATAAGAAAGTATTTTTTCTGCTATGCTTTCAGCTTTTTCCTGATCTGAAGGTTTGGAAGTTTGGTCTGAAAATAATGCTAATACATTACACTATTTATGTAACGGTCACAAGTTAGCTTCATTCAAGCAGTAACCCTATCCTTTTAAATGTATTTTAATAGAGCTATGGTAAAGTTTGAACCGCTGTAATGGCTACGCAATAGCTTCGGAGAATCTTAAAAATCTTCAGCGCGTTCAAAAGATGCAGAACATGACCATCAGAACTTGGTTTATTTATGGGGCCATGGCCATTTTTCAAAGTGCGAACATTAATTTTTCTCCATTTAAATTCATCATAGAAACGTGTCGATTCTAAATGAGGCGTTATGGTCTAGCTCAATAAAAATCAATTGCTCTCTATAAATTTAAAAAGAGGAAAAATACAGTTGACGACGGGAAAACGAATTGCCGCTCTGCAAAATTTGTCTCATTACATTACATGTACTTCTTCTGCGACTTGCAAGTGGACAGCAGTCACTCCAAAAACCCTGAAATCGGATCCTCTCGCCTCAAGATAATGGTCTTATTCTGAGAATCGTACTGTTTTGGAAGTATACCAAATTATGAAGATCTTATCTTGAAGGCCGAGGCAATAATGAAGAAAATCCCGCAAAAAGGTTTAATAAAATTTCAAATTTTATTCTTGTTATTGCGTACGTGCGTACGAAAAAAGGAGTTGAAATGTGTGTATGTGCACACAATGAAATGAATAATCAAGAATTCCTTTTTTATTCGTAAGTATATTTTGTACTTTTCAAAATATGAGGTATAAAAAGGTAAAGTTTCTTACAAATATACAATCAAAACATGTAAATGGTACAACATAAATTGGTAAACTTGGTAATCATTGAGCCTCGGGCAAAACAAGTTCGAATCGATTTTGCACCTGACTTGAGCAAATTAGTTTTTTTCTTTTTAAATTGACATTTTCGATTCTAAGATCGCTTAAGAAAATAACAAACAAAACTTGATCGACGAAATCACATTTTTTCGCACTTTATGCCAAAGCAAACTGGAGAAAAATGGAGTTGAATACTGCTCGTGCCACACTTTTCATGCGCTCTCATCTCCAGTTTACAATCGATGCAACTGCACTGACTCTCACTCTTTTCCTGTTAATTCAGCTGCGCTTGAAATTAATTTCTTTCAATATCCCTTCAGAAATTCTGGTTTGAACACAAATAAAACAATCAGGTAACTTTTACCACCATCCACTTCCGTAACTTTTGTAAGAGGGAGACCAGCCAGATGAGTAAGATTTGTACGATGGGGACCAGCCAGAAGAGTAAGATTTGTACGATGGAGACCATCCAGAGGAATACGATTTGTAAGAGGGATAACTGTACGATTTGTATGAAGGGTAGCTGCTGTACCCGTGACCGTAAGAGCTTCCGTAAGAGCTTCCGTAGGAGTGACCTCCTCCGTAACCGTATCCACCACCGTATGAGTAAGACGGGCTGTAGGAACTGTAAGACTTGTAAGATGGGTAACTATGGGACTTGTATGATGGGTAGTAGCTGCTGCTGTAGGATTTGTAAGATGGAGACCAGCCAGATGAGTAGGATTTGTACGATGGTGACCATCCTGAGGAGTACGATTTGTAAGACGGGTAGTGGCTGTATGAGCTGTAGGAGGGACTGTAGGAGCTGTACGAGGGACTGTAGGATGACCAGCCGTGGGACTTATGTCCTCCGAAGCTCTTCCATCCTCCTCCCCATGTTGCACTGACTACTGATAAGGCTGCTACCAGCAGGAAAGCCAATGAAATCTGAAACAAAAATTCAAGTTAAAGATTGAACGCTTAAAAAGGCTACAGGCTGAGGGTCAAATGTTTAAAATTAGGAGGCGCAGGCACTTTCATGAATTCTGGTATATGGCCACCATCAACACTGTTTTTAAAAAATAATAAGCATTTGAGGTAGGGGCGTAGTTCTTGCTAGGGACACATTTGGCAAAAAAAGATAAGGAGTTCATAGTTTGAGTTTACGAGATGAGTAAGAGGTGCCTCGGGCTCTTGATTTAGCAGTGAATCAATAATTCGAAACAAAGTTTTTATGAAAGATTGAAAAGAGGAAAAAACTTGCATCATTTACTTTGTTAAGAGACAGTGGACCCAATTTAGACTTTATTTATTTTTTTTTTTTAAAAGAAAAAAAAACACACACACACCCTCACCACCACACATATACAAAACAACCCAGATAGTATATAGATGACGCCCCTCTCCGCTCAAATACAAGCAAACAAGCGAATAGAGTCATTTACATAGCATTGGAATATATCATAAATGTTCCACCCATTAATAGAGATGTTCCTCTCGTCTGGAGCGGATATAATGACCGTTTCGTTTTGGAGAGGTACTCTGAACAACATCGAAATTGAAATTAACTTCATCCTAATCTACCGCCATCCAAAATAGAAAGTCTCGCCTTTTAAGGCTTTTTCTCTTGGACCTTTTCAACCGGAGAATCTGATATATGATTTCCGCTTTAATTTTTATCAGCGCATGCAAAACGCAATATCTTAAAGCAACAATAATTAAAAAGTCTAAAATATTATTAAAATAAGTGTTGGAAACAAGCATATGTATACTATCCATCAAGATTTCGACCCCCCTCCCCACCCCCAAAAAATAAATAATGTATGAAGTGATTGCTTTTTAATTCATCATAAGATGCGGCAACAAAGCGCGCAAGAAAACGTGCGTTCCTATCATAAAAGCTGCATTACTTTTACACTTACTTTTTAATTCATCATCCCAACATAAAACTCGCCGCGCTCAAGAAAGACACTGATTGATTATAATGGCATTTTTAACTGCAAGTGTTGTAACAAGTCAACATTTCGGATCCAACGAACTGGCTTCCACGAAATGAACTTGGCAGTGAGCTTAATGTGAATCTGATGAGACGATGTGGTGTAAAAAACGAAACTTACACCGAAAGAAAAACATAGCTAAATTTTTGATGAGCATTAATTATGTAATTCTGATTATTTCTATCCTCATGCAATGCATACAGATAGCAGCGATGGTAGCGAATCGTTGATAAGAAATGGCGTAAAAAGAAAAAATTTGACATCGAAGAAAAGTTGCATAAAATTGTAAATCTGTAACATTTATTTCTCGTAGTATTCGTGATCCGCTCATTGATAAATCCCCCCTGAAAATATTGAGAGGCGATTAAGACTGATCTTAACTTCAGAAAATCCTCACGGAGAAAAAAACTTCGTGCATGGGACCCGAAGTTGAGGTCATATAGATCTCTGAAGTTTTCGGATTACGCATCCGAAAACTTGAGGTCCAACTGCCGAAGTTCGGGTCAGACTTCTGAAGTATTTTTGTATACAATGGGGGGTTCAGGTCACACATCTGATGCACTCCAGTACATACCGAGAGCTTCAGATGTCTGACCCGAACTTCGGCAGTTGGACCTCAAGTTTTCGGATGCGTGATCCGAATGACCTCAACTTCGGGTCCCATGCACGAAGTTTTTTTCTCAGTGCTTAATCCCTTTCCTTGCTTTCCTTTAAATTGCATAATAAGTGATGTTGCTGTTTTGAAGAGAAACTTAACAAAATTAAGTACCTACTTAAGAGAAAATTATTTTGAATGCCCAAAAAGTCAAAAGACGTTAGAATTTTCCCGAAAAAATGTCTAAATGAAGGATAATTGGACTACACCTCTCAATTAAGAACTTCAACTTCTGGCACATTTTAGAAACAACACACAAAACAATAATTTCCCTACGCAGATAGGTGATTTTATGTATGAGCCAGAATTGTAGTTCCATATTGCAAAATGAAGTCCAAATAGAGGGAGATTTCACATGAATAAAAAACGTTTTCAATCGAAGTCATTATGAAGAAATGGTGACGCGTGTTAAGCTTATTTTTGGAGCAATAATTCACCAGAAACATTGAAATACTCGAATTTTTAGGGAAAATTCCTTGATTAAGTGCGTTAGTGGAATGTCCCTCAATCTGGGGCCATCACTTTCTCGAGTTGGCACGTATAGCTGACTTTAACGAGGCAAATGTGCCCTTATTCGTTAAACGAGTGCGTTGCGACCGCTTCGCTCCAATATCGAAGCTGACCTTTACAGGCTGATGATTTTTTGTTAGGGCTTCCGTATCTTCAAGTTGAATCGATGCGACATGGCGAATAATTAATATTCTCTGGCTGCGTCACAGTGGGTGCGTAAACCTTTCTTTTTACACCATACGTTCGGCGAGTCAGCATTCAGCAAAGAATACAGGTCTACAGAACTCAACGGTGGACCGATTTTCATTTCACTCAAATAGCATTAATATGAGTTAAATAATTATTTTTGAGTCATTTAAGGTTCATGAAAGGTTTCGCCGTTCATTTTGTCTCATAGTTCTAGGAATTGATGAAAAGTCAGGGTGATCTAATTTTTTGGCTGTCCAAAGAATAAAAATTATCGAAGGTGAAAGTAGAAAACATGCATCTTGACTGCGACGCTCTGTAAATTCTCTGCTTTTGTTTTATTTTTTGAAGAAAAATATAGAAATACTCCTGTGTGGAATTTTCTCGAAGTATTCCATTTAGAACGAAGAAATCTAATGAAAATTCCAAGAAATAACGTTTATCACGTTTCATTTGAAGAAATACAAAAATATAAGGGATCTTTCTCACGTGTGTCGACCAATAAGCAGTTGGGTATAGCATAAACACAAGCGCAAAGAATCGGCGACTTACGTTTCAAGGCAATAGCGGGCTGATTATTGAAATTAATAGACAGTGCGATAGACAAAAAATACAAAACGCGCGATCAAAGTGGTCGAAACGAGTGGTTCTTATAGACGGATGGGGAAAATGATGGACTAACTATTGAACTTCTCGTGGGTTACCATGAGTTAGTTATTAATAACCTTCTTTGTTTATTACACCTACTCGCTTCCACCAATAGGATCCATCCATTTTGCTTTTTTCTTCTTTGTCTATAGCTTTATCTATTAATTTCAATAAGCAGCCCTGTGGTCAATACGACAATCATCGATGATTCATCATGGGAAGATGAGTGTTGCTACCCATAGTCATATTTACTCATCGCAAATGGACACCGAAATGATGAGATCCCTAACTTCATTCATGATGCCACTGATCAGACGAGGAATTTTTGGATCCCCAGAGTATCCCCCATTTTCAGATACCCGGGTCTCAAAAATATTTTTCTCAATAAAAAGACCTCTGAACTACCGAGGGGCAGAGGTCTCGACACACTTCATACGAGCCAACAACCGCACAGAGGATCAAGTAAATGAGAGAAGTCGGACAAAATTTGGAAATTTAACGAGCTTATATCTCCATTTACACAAAACTTTGATATTTTAAAAATGGTTCCACTGGTTTCCTCGTGAAATTCTCTTTTAGAAGCACCCCATAATATTTAAAATGTGACGAAATATGAACATCAAAGTTGACAGTTTTAGTAAAAAACTCCATGTCCGACCTTTCTGATTGACTCGATCCACTGTGAGCCGGGGGAGAAGGGATCGAGACGATTGTTAAAGATGAATAATTCAAAAATCTATTATCACCTGTAGTTAACAGAGTTTACAAAAAGGTCATTTGGACTCTCAACGGTCTTTTATCGGTTACGAACTGTGATTTAAGTAAATGGAGGCATATGGCCTGGTCTTGATTTGTGACATTTCTCACGTTTTTATGGTATGTAGAAATATTCCTCGAGAATTTAATAGCACTTGGCGCAGTCCCAACGCGAAAAAAATCTCTCGAATCGCATATTGAGTAGCATTTATGTATCTTTGTACGGGAACCATTCTGTTTCCAATTTTTGAGTGCAAGTCTTTACACATACTTGATCTGATGTTTGACTGGAAATTGAATCGACCTAATGGCAAATTAAAACCTGCGGATCCCGAGAAAATCATAAGAGATACTAAAATGAAATGTTTGAAAGAGAACGTACTTTTATATTATGATGAGAAACAAATTAAGTGTAAAAAGTATAGTATATTGTAATCAACATCTTTCACGCATTTAATTTTTGATCAAAGTTAGCAACAAACGACTAAAATCACCGGAAAAAAGTCAATTTTTTTAAAAAAATATTTGCACCCAGATCAGATACTTAACTTTTCGCAATGTTATGTACGCATAGTTTTGATTTCTCTTTTTACACCTTTTTCTACGGAGATGAGTTCTAAAATGAAATATTTTCTCGCGGATAAAGCTATATTTTCACTAAATACAGCTTTGAGTCTCTTTTTGATGCCCATTATTTGGACTGCATTTTGCAATTTGAAACTATAAATTCTGGCTCTTCTGGAAAAACACGTATGTGCATAGGGAAACTAATGGCACATCCGTTGTTTTTAAACCAGGCTAGAATTTATAGTTCCTAATTGCAAAATGTAGTCCATTTGTTATTCGCGCAGCTTCTGAAGCAAAATATAATATGATAACCACAAACAAAGTTATGCCCGTGCGTTATTTTGGGCAAAACCCTGTGTTTAAGTTCTCGTTGTGATTCCGCTCCCTTCATCGACAAGCTTTTCCGTTTTCAAGTAAACAAAGTGAGAACACGGTCTTCCACCATACATGGAGATGCACGAAAGGATAATCACAGAATCAGAGAAAATACATCGAGACGCTGTGCGAGCAGGTACGCTCGCATTGACATTTTATTCAGGTATGGATTGAACTGGATATTAGTCACTGCAGCATGCTACCTTCTTGGAGATGCATCGTATTGGATTAAACTTCCTTACTCATTGGGTTCGTGGATTTTGAAGCCGCCCCCCCCCCCATAAAAGACTCTGTCTATAAATTGGTGGAGGTATTTTAAACTGCAACATACTAATAACCCTTTTTATGACCGGATTGAATGATTTAACAAACAAAAAAATTAGGTAAGTAGCACTCAAGCGATAATTTCCTGTGTCGTAAGCCTCTTGTATATCATGGTCATTTTTCATCTGAGGCTTTGTAGGACTAATGCGGTAAAATTATCAAACTCTGGCGGTTTTTTGTATACTTCATTGAGCTCCATGTGCGCTTGCAAAGTTTAAAGAGGAAAAAAAGAGTATTTATTTGATTGCAATTGACCTTTCCTTCTTGGGGGATCGGAAATCTCACAAAAAATCGGAGAGTCGTAATTAAGTAAATGGAACAGAGGTGGAGTTAACACTTTTAGGACCCTGAGAGTGGTCCCTCCTAAATGGGCACTTCCTCGAGGAGGGCGCTTCTGGTGGAGATAAGGAGACCTCCTTCGAAAAATTTGAAATTATAACTCCTCTTAATCGTAAAGCATTTTTGGCACATATTATAAAGAAAATAAGAGGAAAAGTCTTCCTAGTGACATAATAGTAACTTTGCGAGCAGAGGAAGAAAATGCCATGTTGAAGAAAAATCGGTAAGTTTATGTTGAGAAAGGAAGGAAAAAAAGACTTCGTAGCACGCCCCCTAGATGCACGCCCAGTGGGCGCGCAAGATAAATCCTACCCTGGAATGGATTATACAAAATTGTTTTTCACGTCGTCTTTACACTGAGAAAAATTGTCCTATCAATAAGTTCTTTATCGGATTTCTACTCGAAACTGCAGGAATTACCATACTGTTTCGAAGGGATGCTTCTTACAAACAATCGGAATTCCGTTTGGACAAAAGGAATTCCGGTTGTCTCAAACAGAAATCCGATGAGGAAATTAAAATCAGGACAGGGCGTTTCTTTAGGTGCTCTAGGAAATTCTCCCTCCAATTTTATGTAACAAAAGAGTTCTGCAGTGCTTGAAGATTTTGAGCGGTTAGTTTCGAGAATCGAGATATTACTGAAATTCAGCAACCTACAATTTTCTTTGAGAACAAAAAATAGTTTTTTCAATTTTAATATTAAAGTTTTTATATTTTTCCATTACTTTGTACATAATGGGAACGAGAACAATTTGTTGCCTTTTAAGTAGACTTTGACACTTTCTTAACAATACTTTAAGAGAGACATTTTATTGTAATATTTTCGTACGACTTCAATTTCGGCAATGCACTGTGTAAAACTTTATTTAATTAAACCTACGTTGATCATATTGAAGTTCTAAATAAATCCTAATTTTACAATCATGTTTTTTCCAAAAATTGCTTATACTTAATTTTTACAAAAATAAATTCAAGAATATCTAATTGTTGAATTTAAATTTGCTCGGAGAAGTTATGAAAAACTGCACCAATTAAAAATGGTTTGTCTTCGTGAATAAAATTAGAAGTTGACGGAAAATTTTTAGCGGCGTGTGAATTAGATTTTACTATTGACTAGTGTTTTCCCAAAATATTCCTTCCTGTTATTTTCTATCGACACTTTTTGTTGAATGGATGATCGGCACTTGTTAGATTATCCGTATAGATATTGGTGGCTGAAGTAAAAAATGCGAACTTTGTTGGAACGTTTAGGTATTTTCCTATACTGTTTTATATCCTAGTAAGTAAACCAGCCAATGCATCTCCGTAAAATGTTTGTAATTTTTGTTTGCACGAGTGAAGAATATGAACAGATCATTTCATTAGAAACTTTTAAGTAATTGGCCAAAAAATTAAAAAAACGGGAATTCGCAACGCCGCAATCGGAAATATGCATTTTCAGACTGTACAGCCACGTGTATTCAATATTTTTAATTGAAGGTTCGAGGCAAGGTCCACAATTGAAGAGAAAAACTGAATGGACTTCATTATGGCATCAGACCAAGAAAATTGGATGACTTAGATGAACAAACTTGGCATAATATTTGAGAACTGAAGCCTTCATTGCATAAATTAATTGCAATCTCGTGAGATTTATAAGAAGAACTTGAAAAATCAAAGCTCATAAGAATTTGATCAGTTTTTGAAAGTGTTAGTTACAATTTCCACCAAGAAAAACCGTTTTCTACGCATTTTGTCAAACGAGTATGTGCATTAAAAACGTTTTAAAAAATCCATTGTTTTGAAAATTGTGTTAAGAAAAAAGAACTAATATGTGCGCCTACCGGTTTTAATGTCTCTATTCATACTTAAATATAATGTAATGTAATGTAATGTTAAAGTGATGGAAAGACTCCCATTGGAAATTTGTTGACACTCAGATGAAAATGTTTCCAGGGGACAGTGGCTCCGAGATAAAATGAGCATGTCTCGGTGAAACTGGAGCGCGAGCGTAATATTCTCTGATACGGATAAAATATGTAAAATATATTCAATGAAAAGTGAAAACCGTAAGAGAAATGAGCTTACCAGAGAACGCATGGTGTCGATCAGGGTGTGTGTGGTGCGTGAAGCTGGTAACGATTAAGTAAACTGAACATTTTTATCCGAGTATTTTGTTGTCTTGATTTTGGTGGGGGTCGAGGAGGATGGAAATGCCATCCGAACCTGCACACACGCCCCCCCCCCTCCCGCTCTCCAGCTCGACGAGCCTCCCTGCTACGCTTCTACTCATTCATAAATTTTACCGGTAACGGTTGCCGGATTTATGGATAGTTGGGTGTCGATGTAATGAGAGAGTTGCAATTGAACCGAATAATCGACAAAAATTAGATCACGTCTCAAGGTTAACCTTAGCTTAGACGTATCCAGTGCCATGGCTAAACTCAGAGAGCACATAATATATTCTCTGAAAAAATCACTCCGGCCGTGGAAGCCGTACTCACGGGCTATATAGACATACAGTCCGCGTTCCGGGCCCAGAGACCGAAAGTTCCGGGCGTAGCACCCGGACCAATCGAAGCTACGGCTCCAGCACCCGGAACTTTCGGCCTCTGAGCAAGGAATGGACGGTGTGTCTATTCTATATAGCCCGTAATTTTTTTTTCAGTGTTGGTTTGCGATATTGCAGACTCTTCGTCATACTATATTTTTATAAAGAAAAATACAAAAAAAGGAACAAATAATTTAACGAAAATAGACACAATAAAAAGGAAAATACAGACGAGAAGACAAACAAAATATTTGGGACAATAGATGGTTTCAACCCTCTTTATGACCTGGAAACAAAAATATATTAACATTGATAAAAATTAATAAACACGCCGACGATCATTCTTGTTAAAAAAAAAAACCACAAATAATTTTTTATTTCTAACACAAATAGGGATTTGGGGTTTTTTTTATATTGGTGAACGTTGCATGTAACGAGGAAAAAATGAGCTTACCTGATTTTTCAAGGTCACAAGCAACTTTTGCTATTTTTTACATGATTTATAGAAGAATTATGAGATACTCAGTGATCAGTGATGGCAGCTGTGCTTTAATGAATACTCTATCCATCCGACTATACTTGTGATTGACTTCAGGTTAGTTTTCCTGAATCTAGTCTGATTCAGGGTTGAGCGGATATGACATTGCCGGCACACTACACTTGTAGTACACGCACGTTTTAGGCCTTGATTTTTCTCATTCCTCACTTGAAGTTGTTCAGTTCAGTTCAGTTTGTTTATTGCTGTTCACGATGAATTGGCCTGACATTTCTTAGCGTTATTTGTACTAAGATGTTCCTCGAAGCCTATATTATACTTTGGTATCGGTAACTTAATTATGGAAGTTTGAAAACTTTCCTCGTGGATAGTCACGCAAATTCAAATGAGTACTGGTGGAAAACAAGAATGTGAATAATGAAATCAAGCGGGACATCCTTTTCAGTTTTTTAGGCATTTATGTGAAATTTTAAATTGGCATTTCTAACTTAAAACTTTATTTCCACAATTTATTGAAAATCAAGGAAATAAACCCTGGTAAAAATTGGCGATAAGAGCTGGGTTTCAAAATACCAAAGGAATTCTTATAGCCGGCTAAAGAAGGCTATACAGAAAATCATACAGCTGGCTGTAGAATGCGGAGAAAATCATACGGCCGGGCTATACGAAGTGATAAAAAATTATGCAGTCGGGCTATAGTTCCTATAGCCTGTTGCCTGCCTGTCTGGCTGGCTGGCTGGTTTGCCTGTCGCCTGGCTGTTGCTTTTTCGCCATCGATTATAAAAGGCTATAAGAAATTGTGTAGAAATTCGTGTGCTTTGGAAATCATCAAGTTTGATACGGAACCACCTTAATATTTACAAAACACTCATTATATTTTCCTTTAATGCATATTTTTTGTCATCAATTAAAACGAGAATAATCCATACAGGATGTGCAAACATTTCAAAATCATGAGTTGAATAACGCTGACTCCGCTAGATTAAATATAAGAGCCTAACACAAAGCGGAGCGGCGACGCACTGGCGCCTACAAACCTAACGGGGATACTTCACGCATTGCGCAACGCGTGAAGTATCCATGTTAGGTTTGTAGGCGCTAATGCGCGTTTCGCGCTGGCTGCCCGCCTGCCGCGCCGCAGCGTGCCACGGCGGGCGCTTGAAGCAACTATTTCACACCAGAGGTATTGCACAGTATCATACGAAACTGAAGGCGCTCTAATATATTAGGAATGGCAGGCATCCATCAAAAGTACGGAGCTTTCCTTGCAAAATAAATCAAGATATTTCGGCCCAAAAAGAGAGCAGTAGTCCAAAAACTCACCAAGTCCTAGCATCCGTAATTAGTAACGTTTAGCATACACTTTATCGCCTGGCTGTGAGTTGCTTAATCGCCATCGGCTATAAAAGGCTATAAGAAATTGTATAGCCGGCTATAGAAGCTATTGGAAATCTTACAGCCGGCCGTAGGTCTATGGTATTTTTGAACACAGATTCACTGCCAATTTTTATCAGGGAAGGCACAGGTCTTGCATTGGACATAAAGCATTCAATACATGTGGGTTACTGAAATTGGAGTCTAGTGCGGAGCGTCATATCTATATCCTCTTGAACAAGCATATTACTTCATTGAATTTTTTGAAAAAACAATAAAATGAGTTTTAAAGCCTTTTGACCGGAGGTCTACAATTTTAAAATTCTTCAAAAATGAGGGACAACTGAAAACGCCCAGCTAATCGATGTATGTGTCGTGTCCTATTGTCTCAAAATCAAGTGTCGAATAACTTTAAAAGCAGTTATTAAAGGCTACCGCTACTGACAGGGGATATCAAGGAGATTGCATTTTGCTGATTACAGCTGCTCACGAACTGTGTGAGAGTTACTTTAAAATTAGCAGAAGCAGCTGATCGGAGAGTTATTTCAAAGGTTTACTTATAATTGACCTGATGACTCAGGAAAGCTGGAGACATTGCAGGGATCTACAAATACATGACCAGAATCCACGCCAAATAAGTTTACACACTTTTATAGACTGACAGAAGATCATCAGTCTTCAATTAAGCATTGAAATAATTGAATACGACAATCGCACGATGGCTGAAATCTAAAAACTTCCGAAACTTGGCCGAACATCCGTCTTACTCTAAAAATGCGTGAACTTATTCTGCCGTGCTGAGAAAAAAGTCGTATAAGTCTTCAGACGTTGCCAAATTTCCTTCAATAAAATCTGAATTTCCTGGGAAATTTGTGGATATTTTTCAGAAATTTTTTTACTTGTAATCAGATCTACATTGCCTGAAAATCCCGAGAGAAAATATTCATAACACTTCTCAAAAGTAAACTTTTATCTGAGGAATTTCAGCAACTCTCGAATATTCATACCACGTTTTTCTTTAACACGGCAGTATTTTCCGTGGGTAGACTCAAGAACCACTTCCCTCCCCAAAACGACCCATTAACCCTTGAATTAGTCCCCTCTGTTGTAGTAAAATCGTTACTATGGCTCATCACAAAATTTGTCAAGCGTAAGATATACACGTTTTCTTTCTCCCACGAGGCACTGTCGAAACGTTTTATCTCCTGCATCGCTTTACAAGCCGCCGGATCTAATGATCCTGATGATGATCGCCGCGCCGTGCGTGTTTTTAACTTCCAAAAATCCTGGCTTAACTCCCTCATAGAAACCAATTACAGTTATTATTCGTTTCAAGGTCACGAGCAACGGACCATAATATCGCATAGCACCTAATTAATATGCCGTCGTTCTTGTGCTGAGCATAAATCTCCGAAACCTATATCAACAATAAAGATGCATCTAATTAAACGAACAAATTGCCGACGCGACGTACTTCGCCGACCTAGAATCGGCATAAATTTTGAGAAGTTTCACCCAGAATGCGGCGCCTGCCCTTCAGTGTCCCGCTGAAGTTCAGAGTCCGGACCGGTCTGCAGTGTTTTGACCCCGTATTCTGTTTATCTTGATTTTATTTCGTCCAAGGTTCGGTGTGGTAACGTTTCGCCCAAAGTCAAAGATGATCCAGTATCGGGTTGACCAAGAACCTAAAAGGCGTTCGCCAGACGATCTGACCGTTGCGCAACCGACAGCGTCTCGGCTCTAAAACGGAACGATCAACGTTGACCGGGCGCAGGATTTGAGGCGATAAATATTTTGCATTTTATATGCTTTTAAACAGATGAGTCTATGGTAGATCGACCTCAGATGGACACCGAGCACTGACATCGATCATTCACTCTGTGAGAACGATGCAAATCACATTGACCTCTGTCTCTCACAATTCACGCACACCCGAACATTGCCATGTTGAATAGATTCAACGTCCACCGCACCGCTCTCTTTATTGAGTAGTCCGTTAACCCTCCGCAGCGTCCGTTGACGCAACGGTCAAATTGAGTGCTGTGTTAAGGAAAAACACCGTATGAGCCTTCAGACGTTGTCATATTTTTCTCAATAAATACGAATTTCTTGGGAAAATTTAAAATACTTTTTTTAAAATTTTCAAACATTTTTGTTTACACTTTAATCTAAAATATTGTGAAAATTTCAAGGAGAAATACACGAATAAGTGCCATCAGAATTGCATATTTTATGCGGGAATATTTGGTAACTCTCGAATGTTCATACGGCGTTCTTCCGTTGCACAGCACTGCTGTGAATATTCTTGAGGATTTAAGTGTTTTCTGCAGGTAAGTTGAATTTATTTTTGAAAAATATTTCTGGTTTGGTCTTAACCAATACCTCCTAAGGTATCTCGAGGAAACAAAGATTTCTTTTATTTTCCTACTTTTTACATTTTTTTGTTTCCGTTTATGTTGAGCTGACCTAAGTGCGACGATGTTTCTGCGTGTGAAATCTGCAACTACGGTGTGCATGATACGAGAGTGATTTTAATCCAAGGAAAATTTTGATGGAAGATGGAAAGGGTTGATCACCTTACTTCAATCAGTTAGTTAGCAAAAGACATTGATTGATAGATAATACAGTAGAAAAGGGTTCTGTCGATCAGCTCACCTGATGAAGAAACGGTGGAGCTCTCAAGATCAACCCATCTGGTGACACAAGCCTCGGTGACTTTAACGCCCGACTAACAAAATAGAGCGATCGTACAATCTAGG